TCAATAAGTACTGGTAAAATGCTAAGAGAAATGAAAGCTTTCAAATAAAAGCTCACGGTGCGCTATAAAATATGAATGGTGCATTGTTCACTGATGGCCCAAAGGAACAGACTAGTTCGGCAATGATCACACAGGGTTTCTTGCTTTGACAAGCTTGCACTCACCCTAAATACAACATCAGAGGGCACTGGGGATGAAAAGGCCTTCGTGCTGCTGGGTGAACACTTCGACCAAACAGCAGCAGTCCAGCTCTGATTTAAAAAGCAAATCTGTGCACAAGAACATGCAATGGGGATGAACAATGTGTAGCTAATGCAATACGAAAAAGCGTAGGAAACAAATGGTGCTTGAGCTACTCGTACAGCCTGAGCAGCTGGCATTAGCTGGTTACTTCATGTGCTTAAGTCACATCATTAAACTATTTACCAGAGAAGATTGGAACATGTGTATTTGCTGGTGTCTGAGAGCTAGAGACTTCTGAAAGGATTGTTTTATTACATGATGAATACTGATTTCCAGGAAATGCAGTAAAGGCCAGGACTCAGGAGATCTGGGTTCTAGTCCCCACTCAGTCATGGAGCCAACTGCTTGGAATGATGAATTGACACACAGGCTCTTGATCTAGGAATCAGCTAGAGGAGAGACAGTAAACTCAATGCACAATCCAGACAAGATGGACATTTTGCCAGTGGCTAGTTGGTCTGCCCTGGAAGATGGTGCTCAGCTGTGGTTCTGGCTGCACTTCAAGACTGTTAGGAAAGGACATGTGATTTGAAAGGCTGTAGCTACAACTGCTAATGGGGACTGTGTATAGGAAACTTGTCTTGCCACTTTTTAAACAACCATGTTGACTTCTGGTCTGTTTCTGAGTGTTTTTCAGAGTGTAAATTTTTGACATTTAAAGCTCTAAGTGGTTTGGGATTCAGGCACATTTCGCACAAGTACTTCCCTGATAGTGTTTTATGAGCAACCCCAAAGGTTCTTCTGTAGAGACCCTTTCCAGCATTCAAATGAAGGAAGATGTGGGGTTATCAAGGTTAACCTTGGTCCCTGAAGGCAGTCCTTCAGTCTGTTGTTGTTTAGTAGTAAGTGACACTGACCAAAAGTAACAAAACATCCACATTAGTCAGCTGTGCAGTGGAAGATCTGTGTCTGATCTGATTTGCCACGAGGCCCTTCTGATTACTTTCATAATGCTCACATTTTAAACCTGCTGGATGGGTTTTCCTTTCAAACACTTCAGTCATATTTTTTCCAGAGTTTATAAGTATAATAAAAATCACAACCTCCCTATGAACATTTTCTCAAGCTGACCCAGATGCATGATTCCTATAATCCAGCTTTTCCTTTGTTTCTCTTAACCAGTTCTGCTATTAATTTGCAAGTGGTTCTGCTCCACACACTTGGCAAAAGCATTCTTTTTCCACAGACTACTTCTCTTATTGCTCTTTATGCCTTTGATTTTTCTTATTTATTGTACCAACATGATCTTCTCTTACATCAACTCTTGCCAGGGTTTTCTCCTTCTCCTCCTCCTCCTCCTCCTCCTCCTCCTCCTCCA